GTACGTCTCCGTTTCTTAATGCTAATTTATAAGTAATAGCAGCCCACCGGGACTGGGTATTCGACAACCCATTATTGTGATGTTCAGGTTATTGCAGCCGCTGACAAGATAAGTTGATTTTGATGGGGCATTTTCGACAAATAATCCCGAGCATAGCGCGCGGGACCCCGGTGTGAACATAACTGAACAAGGTGCAAGGTATATCCAAACTGCTCAGTTAGAAAAGTTATTATAGCGCTGAATTTCGCCTGGTAACGGGGGAACGTGGGGGCCAACTGCGCATCCGCCTAAGAACTGGCACTGTTACTAAACGAGCGGATCAAGCCGGTGGTTGACAACTGACTGGATTGGATGCGCAATAAGATTTGGATTGCTGTGATCAAAGCTGAAGGAGATGGGTCAGGATAAAGAAAACGAACTCCAAAATCGCATCACCATCATCGGCATTCGTGCTTGTCAATACATAATACCGAAGCTCTGCACAACCATGATGACTATTAAATATAACTGGCAAAGGAGAAGAGTGTGAACCCCATGGCAATCGTGTTAGCCACAATCATGCATTCTGAGTCAACCGACAGTGACACAAACAACTGACAATCGCGCGAAGATAATGATGTGTAATGGAAGCACCGCAATGAGGCTGGATCTCCATCACAATGAGGCTGCACCTTACCGTAGTGAGATGGTTTGCGTGCCTCAGAGATCCATTGAGTTCTGCTGGGTGATGCTTTTTTTGCACCTTCAAAGCCACTCATACCAGATTGGTGAATGGCTAGAGGCCAGACAAACTCAGCCTCCTGGTCCTCCAGGTTGGGGGTTGGAATGGGGGTGGCTCCTCATTTCATAAAACGGGCTCTGTAGTCCAGTGCCAAAACCCGCTGCCTTGCGGTCAGGTTTTTGAACCAAAGGCTTTGGTTGAGAACCCTAATCGTTCTTCTGTCTAGGCCTGGGCAACCTGACAGTATTCTGCCCACGTAATACAATGAAATTTTCCTACAATAATTTCTTGATGCTCTGGCCGTCGCAGAGGATAATAAACCGCGCCCTATCTGCTGCATCGAGCAGGGTGGATAGGGGTATGGATGCTATACTCAGGACTTCCCGTCTTCTTATACGCCTTCTTGCGCTTCTTCATCCTTATCGTTCCTCCCCAACTTTACTTATATCCCCCCATTTTCAATCCCCCCATTCTTGGCCCTCCCCCAGCTTACTTCAATAGTCGCTTGTCTTCTAATTTCAAACCACACACAATCGCACGGCCTCGCTCCAGTCCAGTCGACAAGTCCATGTTCAACCAAGCGGACAACGTCAGTTCATCCGTTTCCTTTTGGAGTCCTCGTGTCTCGCTAAGACTGGCATACCTCAACGTGCGCACTTTGCTACAGATTGGCCAACAGGCAGCACTTGCCCGCACACTAGAGACCCTATCGATCGATATTTACTGCTTACCGGAAACCTGCCCGCAAGATTCGAGCTCCGTGCTTACCCTGAAATCCCCCACATGCGACACTGGCAGCACATTCTCATTGCGCCTGTCTGGCGCTGATGTAAATTCCAATGCCGGTCAAGCTGGCGTCGGCATTGTTTTGCGCCCCCGGACTGAAGTTGCCCTGATTGATTGGATCCCAGTAAACCGTAGGATGTGCGCCCAATTAGATTAGTTGGTTCGTTCCGTGCTACGTAGTCGCGCGGGGAAAAACGGTGCCTGTTTGTCATTGCGGCCTACGCCCCTACAAACTGTAGCACTGATTCGGTAAAAGATGATTTCTATCAGCAACTGCACGAGCTCCTTCGTTACAGAAGAAGCAGGGATACTGTGGTGCTGGCTGGCGATCTAAACGCCCAAGTCGGAAAATTGCCCTCTGATGAGCTTCATCTGGGCGGCCAACATGGTATAGGCTCCCCTCATGATAATGTTGAGCGATCGCTACAGCTGTGTGAAGATGCTCGCCTCTTTCTCGCGAGCATTAACTTTCGACACAGCACCCGCAGAAGCGTGATTTGGCGGCCACCAGCCTCGGGCCAGTCATGGACGCAAATCGATCATATCGCGATCAGTTACCGCTGGAGAGGCTGCGCCCAAAACTGTCGTTCGATTTGGAGCACGAGCGTGGAATCTGACCACGCACCTGTCTGTGCCGACTTGCGTGTGCGTTTCGGTGGACGTCCGCAACGTCGATGTGAACGGACTGAATCCAGCCAGCTGGCGAACCCAGATGTTCTGAATGTGTGCCAAAGTGCGCTGACATCTGGGCTGAGTAAGCGTCTACCAAACACCGTTGAAGATCACTGGTCGCATATTCGTCAAGCGTTGCTGTTAGCAGGCATGTCTTCATGTGGCAAAGCAAATTGTCAAACCGGACATTGGGTCTCCACACAGTCTCTGGAACTTATGGATGCTCGTTGACATATTCCGGCTGGAAGCGAATACAATGAGGCTCGCAAAAATCTCAGGGCGGAACTACGTGTTAGTCTGAAGAAGGACCGCGAAACCTGGTGGTCTCATCGTGCCTCTGAGATGAAAACAGCCGCTGCCGTTGGTAATCCTCGTAATTTATTCCGTCTGATACGGAAAACAGGCAGCAGGAGACCTGATGTTAGCGAGACCATACGCCACGAGAGTGGGCAGATGATCCACATCCTGTCAAAACGCTTGGAGTGTTATGCTGAACACTGCTATGCAATTTAACCAACCTGAGTTATCGCTTTCTTCGAAATTTGAGCGCCCTTCTCCTTGGGCCGTCTCCTTGGATCCGCCCTCACGCGCAGAAGTCGAACGTGAGATCAGGCTGTTGAAATTGCATAAGGCCGCAGGGTCAGATAGAATTTCCCCAGCCCTTTTCAAATTCGGGGACCTGCTCTAGTAGATGATTTACACGAGTTGTTAGTAAAATTTGGGGAGTAGGAGACAGTCACGACAGATTGAAACCGCTCTGTCATTGTCCCAATTTTCAAGGGAGGCTCCCGTTTAGAATGTGGCAATCATAGAGGGATCAGTCTGATTTCGATTGCCTCTAAATTGCTTGCCTCTCTCATTCTCCACAGACTGACTGGCACTCGTGAAAGGCAGATTCTTGAAGAGCAAGCCGGATTTCGTCGAGGTCGGAGCTGCATCGACCACATCTTCACATTGCGTCAAGTGTTGGAGCACCGCTCTGTTTATTGGCAACCCACCGTTGTCGTGCTTCTTGACATAAAAGGTGCCTTCGACTCAGTCGATCGATGTGCCCTTTGGGACTGTCTGCTGAGGAAATGTGTGCCTGATAAATATGTAAACATTATCAAAGCGCTGTACGCGCATAGTTCGGGCAGGGTGAGGGTTTATGGCAAACTCTCGCCACCCTTCAGTATCACCAGCGGTGTGAGACAAGGATGCCCGCTGTCACCTTTCCTCTTCAACTTCGCTATTGATGAAGTCATGGAAACAGCGTTCACTGGACACGACCTAGAAGGTGTGGAGCTACTTCCTGGTGCGCGACTTCTTGACTTGGAGTATGCGGACGATACTGCCCTAATTTGAGATAGCTCCCAAACATGCCAAACAGCACTGGACCGATTAGCACTGGCTGTCAATCGTTTTGGGCTATGCTTTGCTCCATCGAAATGCATGGTACTTCTCCAAGATTGGCAAGGACCCAACCCTGCGCTAACACTTAGTGTTGATCTGCTAGAAGTCATTCAGGCATTCAAGTACCTGGGCAGCTATTTTAGCACCCGTGGGATTGAAGATGAGGTTACGAACCGTATAGCAAAAGCTCGAGGTGCTTTTGCCAATCTCCGCCACCTGTGGCGCAGACGCGACATTACTCTCGCCCTGAAGGGCAGAGCTTACAACGCAGCCGTCCGTTCAACTCTCCTATATGACTGTGAAACCTGGCCCATCAGGTCGACAGACATAAAGAGGCTCGTCACGTTCGATCATCGCTGCCTTCGCAGCTTAGCTCATGTCTGGTGGGAACACCGCGTGAGCAACGGGCGTGTTCGACGTCGTGTTTTTGGTGCAGGAAGAGCGAGTGAACCGCTCAGCACGATTATATCACGCACCAGGCTCCGATGGCTGGGCCACGTGTTGCGCATGCCAGCACACCGACTCCCACGACGTGCATTGTTTACGCGTTGTGGGTGCGGTTGGAAGAGGAGGAGGGGAGGCCAAGTGATGACTTGGTCGAGAGAGATGAAAACCCTCACTTCGAAGTTGGCGTCGGTTGGTGCATCCCGACTGCCTGGCTGGGGTCCTAAGGACGGTGAACACGTTTGGTTGGACACACTTGCAGATATGGCTTGGAGCTGACCCAAATGGCGTTTGTGTTGTGAGTTCCTTTGTCCATTCCCCTCCTGCTTAGCATCCCCCTCCAATCACGATCTCACTTGTTAGGCATAACATGGCTCTCTTTTACGGCGGCCAGCTGTTAGTTCTCCGGAACGATGTCCATCCGTTACTGGAGACTCAGCGGGCGTGCCACTGTTTGTTTTCCTTTTCTTTTCTTTTGTATCGCGGCACAATAGCTGAGGTGTTTTCCACCTCCAGCTAACGTGTAATGATGATGATGATGATGACCCGTGACTTTCACTGCTGTCCGTCATAAAGCGCCGTACCGCACACACAACGCGATATTAGTCGCAGTTTAAACAGGCAATGTGACCTAGCAATCTTCGAGCCAATCAAAAGGGGCATCGTGCAGATCCCCATTTTGGAAGGCGAGAGCCAGTGCAGGTTCACACACGCCCACGTACTGAAAGTGGAAGAAGTATTGGTCGGATCTCGCACACGACACTCTCATCGCTATTACTTCAGAATCAACACGAATTTGATGCACCTTTTTGGAAAAGTATTTAATGCAATAGAGTGTAAGGCACGCATTCATAGTCACTCTGTATCTACAGATGTAGAACGGCTGTTGACATATACTGTGACAGGCTTTTCCGGTAAATGGATACTGTCGGCCACTCAGGCTGTATGGATCTCAACGCCTGTAAGCAAGTTTAGGGCTCGAACATCGGACAAATAATTTTAATTCAGTTTGTGAATCAGACGAGTGCGTTTGTTACACTAGTAAAATGTGTGGGGCAGAATCGGAAAACGCACAAATGGTAGTAAAATGATTTAATATGGCATTGTAATCACCGTTATGCTGTCTTTTCGTTTCACAACTCCAGTCATTTTGGGTATGTACAACGAGACAAAAACATGAAGAGCCTGGGGATCCACCGAGATACAAAGCCGCTCTGTCCTCAGCTTCGCCAGATAAGCGTGGTATGACAAGTCAGCTAGCCTAGTAGATCGGCACACTGAAGCATTCTGATGGAACCAAACTAGGTGCATTGGTTGATTCTTTGGCAACTAGGATGGAATTCGGCGTTGTGTTTGGTGGGGTTCCTCATCCACTGTCTTCGCATTCTAAAAGTAAAAGGAACTCTGCAGTGATAGTGGCAATGGCTAGAAGTCGAATACATGCCTATAATAAGCTGAGGAGCTGAAGACATCGGGGAGTTATCATAGGTGGACCGGACAGTTGAGAGGGGCATAATGTGTCTCGAATGTAGGAAACCACAAGTGGAGATCAATAGACACATTTATTGATTTTCTGGATTTGGAGCACCCGCCATGTGTCTTGGATTGTAACGTAATCCCAATTGTGGCCTCGGTGGACTTTGAAGTCAACCTCTGCCAATCTGATCACTAGGATCCCCACCGAAGTGGGTGGTTTCGGCGTGGTGCTCTCCCATCCCTGCACGCCACGACCGACGGTTACGTCTGTATTTAGACTCATCAGGTGGAGATAGCCGAGTTGGGAGTGGAACTCGGCGCCTAGCGGTTGGCGGTTATCACCATTTGTTATCTAACTACCCAGATTGACCTAAGACCAACATGTTACAAGTTCAATTTGAACGGTTAACATTCTGAGAAATCGGTGTGAAAACCAACCTTGTATGCGTACTGGCAATGGAGGTAAATGAATATACTGTCAGGTAGCGGAACCTATTGAAGTCAACCTGTCGCGCTAAGCCGCAGTATGAAATCAAGTGTACGGAGCGACTTCACCTGCAAGTAAAAGTCGGCGACGGCTAAACATGTCAGCGATAGTTTTGCACTGGTCACCATATTCTCTGCTATTTATTGTTCATTGTCGATTAGCACAGAAAAATCTGACGGATGTGGAAGTGCCTGAACTACCTGACCCAACCTTGCGGATTTGCCAGTACTTAATGGTGGGCATCAAATGTAAGCTATCACATCGTGTCCCATTTAGTTTGAAAGCATTGTAACTCAAATCCGTCCTTAATAGCAAGTTAGGTGACATACTTGCACACTGTAGGCCAAGTTAGGGTTATGACCTGTAATCTTGGCTCACCCACCCTAAGGAATTTACCCTGCCGCTAAAGGGAACCAGACTAAAAGCTGTTCGGCAGGTTTGCTAAGAATATTGCGCCTACAGTGGCCCTTACCATGTGGTTGCATGTCTGAACACCCCAATATTTGTGCGGTAGTCACAGATGGTTTGTATGTCACTGAAGCAGTTACCGGCATTTGGTTCAAAATACAGGGTTTTATATAGCGGTTTGTGATACTTGTATGTTGTATAATGCAATTCATCATCGTTGGCACTACAAAATGGTTACCACGGTACATGTTCCAACTCATAAAATCCCCTGAGGCATATCAAATTGACCAGTTTACTGTGGCATCGTGACGCGGCACCGTTGCTAAACGAACGGCATACTTGTAGCTGGGTGAGTTTTATGCCTGTCAGTAGTGTGTACGGACGTTCAGCAAGAGAGGGAAGAGGAGTCGAATCCAGATGTGTCAAAGCTTCCACAATCCTTTGTGTGTAATTGGTTCAATATCTGCACATTTTTGGCACTAATAAAAGTTAGAAACTGAATACCGCGTAGCATTCTCAGTGTCCATGAGTCGCAGCAGTTACAATGGACTGGATGACGGCTATGAGAAATTAAGGTGTTTATATTAGGCCAAGACTTATGCTGTCCGCAGCTTGGCTTCTGTGTTTACCTTGGCGCGGTATCTATTCCACTAAGCGTACAGTGTTCGCAAATGAACACCCGGATCAGAGCGCGATTTGCATTGATAGTGTGTGTGGTCTTGCGGATCCTAGTTCGATGTGGACAACAGTTTTCTGGGTAAGCACAAACACATCGCTATGTTGCACTAGTAATTCGATGTCAAATTGTGGTGACGCAAAAGTCAAAAGTGGCAGGTAAGACGGGAAAGTCACAGAAACCAAAGAAGAGGCAGACTAACGCTGGCACTAGAAAGGAAAAGAGGCAAAGCAGCTCGAGGCTTAAGGAACAAGCCGGGAACGGTCTACGAGTGACAACATATATTGATCCAAAGCCGAGAAGGGCGGGGAATGCAGTGGTGAGGAGACCGATATTCCGGAGAGCTAATTCTTTGGCCAAGCCCGCAGGAATAACCACAATGAGAGCAAAAGCAACCCCGATTGAGCAAACCAAGGGCTGTGAAACGAATTCTAACCGACCGAAAGTTGACGGATGGAAGCGGAGAGATAGGTAAAACTAAAAGTTATTCAATGGCGCAATCCGCGAAAGCGCATAGATGTGTCGCTAGCGGATTCCAAAATGTTGGTACGTTTTTGGAGGGAAACATGACCCATGTCTGCTCGCCTGTCTGAGAGGGTAGCATGTCTGTTGTCGTCTCAATAAAGGTTGTGCTTCATGACCTCGTCGTTCGGCTGCAATATCAGTGCACACAATGGAAGTAGCTATGATGACAAAGCAGTGCCTCGGCTTTTAATGCTGTGGCGCTGTTGATCCTATCCACTAACGGAAGTGAGAGGAAGAACGAGCGGGAAGAGAATCCAAAGTACGTTTTATAGAGAAATGACACTGTTATATAGCTTGAACTGTGAATGAAAAGACCACCCAAATCACTAAAACCGTGCGGACAGACAAAAGCATTGCGGAACGAGCAAATAGATAACCAATCAGATGCATTTAAGAAAGAAATACGAACGAGTAGCGTCATATCAAAACTGTGATCCATACTCGAAAACAACGACCTTAAGCAGCCAATGGCGTTACAGTAAACGTCTGTGAATTACGACGAAAATAGGAAGGTCTGCGTTTGTCAGCGGCTGCGTACTAGAATTGCTACTGCTCCACTAACATAAAAGAGAACAGTATCATGGAGCCAAAAGGTTTATAACTTGTATGAAACGCACATTTCCAAAAAATCAAATATCAATTATGGGCAGTGCTCAGGAGCACGATCTCTTATTACTGAGCCCTATAAAATGAATCATGCTCCGGGTTTATTTAAAACCAAAGAATGCCTGATTGAGGCAACCGGGCTCTGTGTTAACCAAAAGCAACAATTGTACGGCTCTAGTCAAGTCAAGTCAAGGTAAGCTTCGTGTACCCGCATGGGTATATTACCAACGCTTTACAGTATCAACTGCGAGTAAAGTAAAACGGCATCTTCCAAAACGCAAAGTTTTATAAATGGGTAGAGAAAAGAGATGAGTGTACAATGGTGTCACTCGAGTAAAAGGACCTGTATTCCTGTGCACAGAGCGCCAATTGATGAAATCCTCAGGATTCTCCAATTTACAAATACAAATCCATTTCTGCATGACTGGTTTCAACTGGCCCAAAAATTATTGGCCAAATGCAACCAATCGTCAATATTGAGCTGTATCTCAACATAGTATTCAAAATATAAAAAGTCAGACCATCTCGGTGACATTAGAAGTACATTGGACAAAACATCTTTTAAAATATTCCTACAAAACGTACAGATCCGCTGTAGATAAAAATGATATTCAGTGAAAAATCAACGGCCGGTTTAAAGACTCCGCCGGTTGCTAATTCCAACAGAGTCAGACGTAAGATCAATTCCATACCCTAACCTCAAGACCACGTGTTTTACTTCCCCATATCGACACAACCATTGTCGGGGACTGAAATAACAGTTACATACAGTTGACCATTGTGTCTATACTGAGCCATCGGGTCTAAGCAAAACAGCTTGGCCGTTGATATTCCCTAATAAAATAACTTTTCTACACAGTTCACTGTTTTGAGAACAGCTGTGCCCTCTGTGGAGGAGTAAAGAGTGCAGTGCTCCCAGCCGAAGGAACAGAAAGCAAAATGACTCTGGTGGTCGCATGGGGCGTCACTCCGTCGCTGCGCGGGAGGCGTGAAGTTGGCTCATACAACTTTTGGAGGAAACCCAGTAGGTGACAGTGCTGCTTGTCGACAAGGTTTTATTCAATGTGGAACGATGAGCTGCGCACTGAGCTGAGCAGCAGTTGAATGGAGAAATATTGACTTGACCGGCCCAGTGCTTGCCGTGGAGACGATTGTCTGAGGCCAGAATGGGGCCGTTGGCCACCCGTGTCCATCTGCCTCATCAAAGGGGTAAATATACATTTATTACTGTGGTTAGCAGAAGCACAAAGACCGGAGTGAAACAGGCTCTGGTATACGTAGTGTTGCGGGCCCGTCAAAAATCCCCGCAAAAACGCGCCAGTAACTCCGGCATAATGGCTGTGGTAAGCGGAGTCCAATGTCTCCCCACAACGCAGCAGTGTTCAGCCACTCCGAGGAGCGTCCCAACTGCGAACCTTTTGACAATGGTCATTTGCAAACTAGCACCTCTGCGTGGTGACTTTTTTCCCTAACTTAATAACCCATAGCACTGGCTGTGATTGCCCTTTGTCGGTCGTAAAAGAGCCTACAGAGGACCACTTGTCTTTTCTTTCTCTTCGCCTCAGTTGGGAGTCGGTCAGGTCGCGTGATTGCGTGCGAGTCGTTAGCTGGCCAGCCTTCGCGTCTAAGTCATTAGCGCGCGTCTTTCATACCCCCTCTCGTGTGCGTCCGTTTTCGAGACCTCAGCGTCTATACGAACAAGTGCGGCTAAGATCGTTCCCACGCTCGTTCAATCTTTCCGTCTCACCGGCTAAGCTAGCGTCATCGTAGGCGTGCTCCAACCGTGCGAGCGACAATCTTGTCACGCAATTACCTCAAGTGGCGGCGTTCCCTCAATCATAACAGTGACGACTAAGGCAATCTACGCAATTATAACACGTAGGTTTGTTGGAAAAAGATTGTGAAACAGTAGCACGTCTGTGTGAGACGTTTCCCTTAAACGGACAGGGTAGTGCGCTACTCCGAACTAGATTGGACGTTTGATTTGAGCGAAGGTACTTCTGTTAAACGTTTCTTTACGTATGTGGGAAGGCTGGTCTCATACTGTCGACATGGGCGGCGTGACATGTATGCTTACCAGTTGATGCGCATTGACAAAAGTGAAAAGCCGCGACAACCGTACCATCTGGCGCAGGATCAGGACGCCTGTGAATTTTAATAACTCTATTATAACTGATCTCCTCTACCGGATTTCCGAAAAAGCAAATGTAGCGGGCCCGTCAAGTATTTCCGCAGAAACGCGCCAGAAGCCCTGGCAGAATGGCTGTGGAAAGCGAGGTCCAATTCCTCCCCACAAAGCAGCAGCGTTCAGCCACTCCGAGGCGCGACCCAACTGCGAATCTTTTGACAATGGTCTTTTACAACCTACCGCCTCGTCGCGGTAGAAAGTTTCCCTAACTTAATGACCCATAGCATTGGCTGTGATTCGCTCTTTGTTGGTCGTAAAAGAGCCTTCAGAGGACCGCCTGTCGTTCTTTCCTCTTCGCCTTACTTGGGAGTCGGTCGGGTCACGTGATTTTGTTTGCGTCGTTAGCCGGCCAGCCTTCGCGTCTAAGTCACTAGCGCGCGTCTACCGTAACCCCTCTCGTGCGCGTCCGTTCTGAGGGCTCAGCGTCTAGCCGAATCCGTGCGGCTAGGATCGTCCTCATGCTCGCTCAATTTCCGTCTCACCAGGTCAGCTCAAATCCGTTCGACTGGTCAGCGTTCCAATCCGTTATCGTAGGCGTGCTCCGACCATGCCAGCGACAATCTTATCAGGCGCTACGCAATCATAACAGAGGCGGCCCCTCAAATATAACAGCAAACTTGAGTCGCTCTTTGGTGCAATCCTCGGAACAGCTAGGATGGCAATGAACGGAGTTGACCCGTGAGTCGTTCTTGGAAGCCCTTGAAGTGTCCATATTTATTTCAAGTCACAAGTGATGGGTCCGTGTGTCATGAGATAACTGCCCCATATTCAACCACGGAAGATTGATATTTGTAGGATCACCGGATCTTCGGAACCCTTTCAACAAAATCGACCTATCCTTGCCCAGTGCAGACGGTGATAGCTTAAAACAGCCTGAGACTAAACAAAGCTACAATCTGGTTTTTCCAAACGGTTCACAGCGCCAAATACCAGTGTTTACATCCAAAGAGACTAGGTTATTCAGACCTCGCAATCACGCGATAGCCATTACCTAACCACCAGGGAGAGTGGTCAAGTCTCTCAATGGCATATCGAGATGTTTAGTCCATTAAACGGTAAGGATGTCATCGTGCGGACCTTACTGATGCATTGGCACGCCTAAGGCAAGTGCCCCGACACTGTGGACGTGCCTGATCAGAGATCCACGAAAAAGTTCCATATCCGTGAAGTGTCTGTACGAGGAATCTGAGTGTAAATCATCCCAGCAGTCGGTATAACAACAGCTCCACCCCACACTGTCACGCGTTTCTCGCCAAATTCTTACTGTGCCAACAAATCCGACCTGGTTAGAGCACTTAAAGTGCTTTGGTCGGTTACTACTTGCGTAACTTGTACTGTTCCAAGCCGTATTCAATCAAGTCTAGCTCTACATACTTGCTGCCTCCCGTAAATGAGTTCCATCCAACTCCGTCAATAAGTGGTTTTACCTTCACTTCCTTGAATTCTGCACTCCCAACCTATCGTTAACTATGCGATGGTTAATTATTAATCCGAGCGTGCTGCATTTCAAGACGCAACAGTTGCTGAACAGTCGCGGTCGAGCGTACCGCCGGTGGTTGGAAGGTAGCAGAAGCACGCTGGTACATCGTGCTGTAGCTTCGCTGACGTGTGTTCTCAGTCAGTCGCGTGCGAGCGATATGGCGAATTCCCTCGCACCCTACGCATCTAAGCACATCCGGACCAGTTACCTTTTGGTTGTATCACATACGTCTCATCTCTCCGGAAACTGCCTACTGTTTGTTGAAATTTTTGCACGATAGCAAACTTAGTGGTTGCTGTTTTTAATTTTGCACTTCAAGTAAGTCAAGCCTTTGCAGCACCGAGCGCTCTACTGTTTTGGATCACAGTCCAGACATACTCGAAGAGGGACTGAACAACCGATTTTCTAATAGTAACCGGCGGTATCCCCTTGTGAGCTGTTTTGTCAGTGACGGACAGAAACGCCACCAGTTGCTGCCTTTGCAGTCGGGCCATAAGTAGCTTGTATTGCCTTATTACATGACTTCATATCTAGTGGAAGCCCGAAACGGTGAAACCGATAGCTGTTAGCCTCGATAAGCGGCTTTACGGTTTAAGGTCTGGTGGTTGGGACCCAAGCGTTCAGCCTGTTTGGTATCGACGAATTAGGTGAACGGCGTGACACCTGGATTAGCCGTTGTTTATAAATGTTGGCCTCATCTAACCATGATGTAGGGTGCGGTTCAGCTACTTTGTGACTAGTAGGTCGGCAACGTCTAACATCGCTAAACGATCAATTTGTACTCATGCTGGCATTATTGTTGTTCTTAAATGCGGTCTGATTACAATGCACTGTGATCAGTGTTTTCAGATGTCTGAGGTAACCAGCTATCGATAACGCAACATTACATATACCCAGTTGGTCAAATAAAATATTTTGGTTTCGTTAATCAAAAACTGCACCGCAAATACATCAGCCTTGTTGTTTAAGCAGGTCTGCTTTCAGCGGACACTGAGCAGGACAGGACATAGAGGCAGTAGAAGTGAAATCATTCAAAACTTCGATTTCCCCAGTTGTGGTCTCACCTCATCATAGGCTAAGCGGGATCTTCGGGATATGCCCATCTCTCCGTTCAGTTGGGCTGAAAGCAAAAAGAGTGGTAGGAATGTGGATAAGTGATTTGGCCCTCGGATTTAGAAACAAGTAATGAACTTATTAGAATACGTGGATTTGATACACTTTCATTTCTATGACATTGTACGGGAGAGGGTTTCGAGGTTATAAGGCAGATCAATATCATGACGGCTAGACAAATATTCGGAGGATTTTGATCAAGTGAAAATGCACTTTGTATTACTTACATTAATTACATCGTGAAACAAAGCCAACAAATTTTGTAAGTATTCGGGGCTACCAAGAAACCGTTGCTCATTAGGTCGACCAACGGATTTTACTATGCACGGATTGATAATCGCTAACTCGCCTGCCGTGAACTAACAGTTAAACAATCTTCGAAGATGAAGTATATGTAGACTGGTTCACTGGGCCAGTCAGACAACTGCGATGGAGCATGGATGAGGTTTCAGAGCGAGTCTTAGATGCCATATAGAATCGGACCACCCGAATGAGTGCAGCGCAAATATACTCTACTAATACTATTACTACTACTACTACTGCTACTGCTACTACTACTATTACTACTACTACTACAAATAATAATACTGCTACAATAATATGCGAAGGGAAGGGCGATCCACAACTGATGGCCCGGCATTAAAACGCTACTGTGGTTGGACACCCAGTCCTTAACTGATGCACTAAGGCCTTGAATAATCACGAATGCTTATTCGATGGCCGGGGCACCACGGGCACCAATACATGTTGGAGAAGTGAGTCTGCTCGCCAAATCAAGAGGCTGCATGATAAGAACGAGAGCCGGTGGTGTGTCGCGTCATCTCTGCAATCCATGTGACAATAATGATGTATTAATAATGCAGCAGCGGCAGCAATAATAATAAGTAAGCCATAATAATAATGCTACAGATAGAAAAGCCGACTGGATAGGTCCCGTGGGATGGTTTGTGTGAATTATAATATACAACGAAATAAATTACACTTAAGTAAAACATGCATTTGCGGACGCACAACATTATCCACATTACCAAACGTATATATCCGTTTATCCCACTTTCGTAGGTGTTGGTGATCATAATATCTGTCTACGTCTGGTCTGAATTTAAATCAAACCAACTAGTGCAAGTGGTGTAATGCTTCCTCGAGTGGATGTAATAATGTGTGTGGCGTGAGTGCAGAAATGGCAAAACTTTAAACAGCGTTTCACGATTGACAAATTCGACGTTAAAAATATTTCCGGCGGCATCCCAGCCTACTGTATTGGACGGCCACTTTCAGCTGGTGACCACACAATTTTGCGTTGCGGTTAAGTTTAAGGAGGGGGGCTAAGAGTGACCTTGATTTTACAAGATCTAGTACGCCAGATTGAGGTCGTCCCGTAAACGGCGATAACTTTCGCTGTACACTCCTGCAGTTTTAGTTGCAGATGCTAAGGCCAGTGGAACAAAACCTTCACATTTCTGGCTGCCCATCGCTTTGGGTTCTTCTTTTCGACTAGCCTGCGTTTTAGTCGAGGTTACCAGGCCTTAATGAGTAACTTTCCATGGGACTCAGACACATTGAGCATTTGGAAAATATGGAGGTGTCGAACCAACCGAACGCCCTCTTTAAGCGACCTGCATGCTGGTTTGCGGCTTTGGACATCTTCAAGAACTGGGTTGAACAGTCGAGGACGTCTTACATTACCACCCCAAAATCGCGCTCCTGTTAGGCGGTCTTCAAATGTGGTCGCCAAGTTTATATGCTTTCGTTGGTTTGTGGAGCACATATACAGGTTTACACTTGCTCGCGTCGAACGAAACTAAAATTACCTTTGACCATCCAAAGCACGGTCGAAGCCCCGTTGTGACAAATCATGATCTCCTTGAGTACTGTTCGTCACTCGGATCTCTTCAGGTTGATGCTAGAAAAGGCATTCCGACAGAAATAACCCAGGTGCCCTACTACAAACGCTATGTTGTTGATACGTTGGTCTTTTGTTCGTCGGACTAATAGCTCGCACAGTTGATGGAGGACCTTAACGGTGCACATGGGAACTTACGGGTTATCTGCGAAGTGGAACGGATTAAGTACCTACCATATCCGGACATTCGCATCAGTCGCAAGGAGGATGGATTAATTCGGCTATGCGTTTATCGAAAATCCACTTAGTCGGGCCAGTACTTGCACTTCACCAGCTTCACACTAGTGTGGTACAAGTGGACGCTTGTAAAGATTCCAGTTAGTCATGCCAAATAAATTTTCTCGGTCGATGTGCTAGCCTTAGTTACAGAAACACTTGTGACGAAATGCTGCTCTCGAACATTTATTGAGAAACACAGCCAACTGCGAGGGTGGAAGAACTTGATGCATATGGTAGCCAAGAAGATGATTTATATCTAATTACATTTATGAGGTGATTCTGTCGCCTTAAAGACAACCAAGAGACTAATATGCGCCACGCAGAGGTTATTACGCGGTTCAAGTTGTAATCAAGCGCATCTGAAGCTTGTCGGTCCATGCAGCGAAGGAATTTCAGCCTATCTATACCATTGTGAATACCAATTCGTGTGCAGTTGCGGAACCAGTTACATAGGCAGAACGGATAGTACTCTGACTTCTCGAATAAAGAAACATGTGCCGACTTGGGTTTAGCACAAAACAGCCCATGCCCCTGCCCCCCACTTCAACTCCCGTGCGCGCATAAGCGGCCAGCTTCCTCGGTGGGCAAACACCTACTGGTTTCGGGTCACCGGATAGAGCTAGGCCCAGCGTTCAAATTTGTGTTGCATCCACATTCCCTTCGGTTTGTTGAGACAGTTAAGATAAACCGAATGAAGACAGCACTGTGTGCACAAAAGCAATTACTTGTCAGCTTAAGGCTGCCATGGGTGTAGGGGTGAACTTCCATCACTCACTCTGCACCTCAAGCAAGTCTGGATAGATCCAAGCTAAGCTATGTATATGCCTAGCAGTGCTGTTAATGAGAGTGTAAAGACATTACGAACATCCGGCTTCTTTCAAAGCCTTTCAAATTTTAATACCTTTTTGTTGTTCTTGCTAATTCCGTATATGCTGCGGGTTGTACCGTAGAACATTCGAAACCAAACCTCTCCGGCTCCTAGTTTAGTAAAACTCTCGTAAGGTAAATCTGGACACATACACGTAGCGCGTTAAATTCACTGGATACAAGCCTGGCAACCATTGCAACGGTGTGCTCACATCCCGTCCGTAGCCTAGAGGTAATGCGGCCTGTAGCCTAGAGCTAACGAGCTTGTATCCTAACCTTGCGGCGCGGGTTCGAGCCTGCATAGAGGCAGTTCGACCCTCGAAGTATCCATAGCCTAGGTGCGACCGGTGATGGTTGCACAGCAGCGAAGCGTCGGTACTGCTTACCAGCGTACTGCTGATGCTTTTCTGCCTACATCACACTCCGCAATGAACCCACGCCTGAACACACGTGGCCTGTTTTCGGCTACTCCCTCATCTCGAACGCCCGTCCGAGCCGCAGCGTCGAATGCAGATGCGCGGACTACAGACGAGTCACGTTGAGTTCGCTTCACCTCAACGTCATCAGAGAGAGGAGATCTGATCAATGGATAGAGAAAGTGTTTCACGATCCTCGTGCGTGGCTGGTCCAGTGGCCGGACAGCGCGCGCACACTCATTTTCAGCCCCAATAATGGCTCATCTGTGATGAAGAAGCCTGGCAACATACGTCTTGGGCCTAAACTATCGGAATGTACTTAGAAGTGATCGAGAAATCACTGTTCTAAAGTTATGAGGAAGTAATCGGTTCGCTTATATTTTAGGAAGCTTTCCGTTCTATAGACACAAGATCTTCACCAGGCCAATTGAATAAGTCCATAGTTGATGGGGCGTTGTGTAGCGAATAACACAACTACGCACCAAGATGACATCACGGACGCAGGTTCGGGAGTCATCTGAAGTATTCTGGTCGGAGTGGAATTAGTCCAAAGGTTTCGTCCCACAATGCGTTCACAACTACGGTATTGGTGACAAGCATGATGGTGCGGACCCCCGCTATTGAACCAGATCCGCGCACGTACGCTCGTCAGGTTGGGTGGGTTAAGATCGATCCCCACGCAGATGAGAACCCAGCCACCACCAAAGTGATCAAGCATCTGTTGGCTTGGATGAGTCTCACCGCCTCGGAAAGTAATCTTACAAGGATATCGACATTATCTAGATAATTCTCATGTCCTGTACTTGGCATATGCACCACTGCAACCGCCTTTTAATAAAGCTGCGCATTCAAACTCATTTTCCAGTGGTCTTTGTAAAAAAGTCGGTCCTTCAGGGACAAAACGTATATTCTGCAAACAACAGGACCAGGCGAAAACGGAGACAGAGGGCGAGTGAAACATATCGGTATATACAGCTAGTTGGATCCATAATTAACGACCTTTGTTGATGCATGACATTTCTCCTTTGATTCAGTCAAACAAACTCACTCCAATGCGTCCAGCTGTTTGCCAATCAGCGTGCATGCGAGAAACGTGTGAATGTCCAATCGGCTGCCGCCTTTGCTTGCGGCAGCCTAACGGCTTCATTGCTGGGCTGGCACCGCACGTTCGTTCGAGTGTATACTCCCATCACATCCTCCCTTTTTTCATGCTTTTGCTGCTGTACTTTGCTAAATAGTCCATACACTTTACCACTTCGCGTCCTCTTTGTTGGATCTGCCGATGTCGCCTCATTGCCACACGCAGTATAACGCTCTCTCCCTGATTCATGCTGTCGCCTCGGACATCTCCTCAGCTGTACTCGGTTTCTTCTCAGCTTCTTCCCTCCAACATTTACTTCGTATGACCTTTCACCGACTTTCGCAGCCACGACTCCTTTTCTCCACCGCTCCTGTCCATCGGGAATTGGTTCAACCCATACTTCTTCCCCCACTGTCAGCTCAGGCAATTCCCGTGCGCCGTTGTCGTAGTACCGTTTCTGAGTAGCCATTCGCCTTCTCAAATTGTTCTGTACTTTCTCAAATTGTGGCGTGACAGGGCGC